TCTGCGGACAAACAAAGCCAGTCCTTTTCTTCTGTCAAACAAACAAACAGGCAAAAAAAGTCCAACAAACGAAGCCCAGGAGGCGGGGTAATTGGGCTGGGTGGGAGGGACAAAATAATACAAGCCAAAACATACAAACAAGTCCACGTGGAGGGGGGAAGCAAACAGTTTGTTTTGTTTGTCAACAAGGGCAGTTTCTAGAGATGACTTCACATTTAGATGTGAGATATTATCTCACATCTAGATGTGACATAGACAGACCCATTATTTATCTTGCGACCTTACACTAATCCGGTTCGGTTTAGTAGCAGAGAAGCACCGGCTCCACTCGGATTCAAGCTATCTTGCTGTGCCGAAGTCAATTGATCTCAGCTCCGACCAAGTGTCAAACCAAGAACTACTACTAAGTTTTTTTTTTTCGGAAAGGAGGATTACCCCCGCCTCTGCATCAAGCTGATGCATACAACCATTCTTTATTAATTATTCAACAAAAGCCTTACAAAGTAATACATCATTGAGTTTAAACCTGGCCATGAGAAGCTATTTGATCGCGGCACGTACGATTCACTCACGGTGGGTAGTCACGGCAGAAGCGTCACTTATAGATCCAGATGGGGGCCAAAAAGGCAGGTTCCGGCACAGATACATATCGTACTCTTCCTACCCTTTTTATCGGTAGTATTAGTCCACCCCACGCAGGGCCCGGCCCGGCCCAGCCCTGATACATTACAATTCGTGTGAAAACAAAACATACAAGTGGAGGGAAACTGAGATAAACCTATGACCCAACTCTTTTCAGCTCCGGGTGTAGGGACACCCTCATGAACAGTAGATTCAAAATAAATAGGAAACAAAAATATGCTCTATCTTTTTAGGGCATTTCTAACCGATCCCCTAGAAATAGTGGAGTATCCGGTGGAGTAAAAGCTTAGTAGTGTATATATACTCCACTAAGTTTTGGCCGGACCTAGCCGATTCCCTATATATAACGGAGTAAATTTTTGTTTTTCTAAACTTTGCGATTCTAGTATAAATTGCAACTACATATTATAGCACACATATAGAAACTAAACATAAATTTGAAAATTCAAACAAATCACGAATATAGTTTACAAACCGAATTATTCAAAATTCAAACAAATCACGAATATAGTTTACAAACCGAATTATTCAATTTTAATCACATCGAATGGTTCAAATGTAGCAAATAGCATGTGATAGAACAACTAGGACTCGCTAAGACATTGCCAATGATGCTCAACAATATCTTGTTGGAGCTGCGATCCTCTCCCTCGGCCACCGAAGCTCATAACTAAAAATCATTCCTAAAACGGTGTCAAAGTCATCATCGTATTCTTCCTCTTCAGATGACAACGAGACCTCCAAAGCCATCTTCCTCAACCTCTTCATCTACAATTCAAATGGTTAGGTTCAATCCAAATGGCTCGTTTCACAAAGAAACGATAAAAAAACTCACCTAGCAAATTCGTCGAACATTTGTAGTGCGGTGGTGGACACCGGCCGACCGGTGTCGTTCTGACGAAACAGGGCCGGCGGCGACGTGAGGGAATGACCTGCAGTGGTGTGCAATCAACATGAAATGTGGCGGCCGACAGAATATAAGAAGAAGCAACGAAGCAATCTGAAGAATCAACAATTAATGGCGGCGGCGGCGGCGGTTCACATGATTCCGGTGATGGCAACGGTGGCCGAAC